GGCCAGATCAGCTCAATAAGGAGGCTGCTAGATTTTTGTGCAGTCCGTGGGCTTGTAATTACCAACACGCTGTTCTGGCATCGGTGCATCTATACAATATCATGGATGCATGCCGGGTCCAAGCAAGAACATCTGCTGGACTACGTAGTGACGGAACAGCGGATGCGGGCCCATGTCCTTGACACCAGGACCTACTGTGGAGCTAGAGAAGAGATGGAGTGATGTGGTACAGGAGGATGTGGAGTTGAGTGGACTTGCCGATGACTGGTACCAGCGGTGTCAAGATCAGCCTCTGTGGAGGAGGTTCGTGAAGGACGCCCTCCAACAACAACAGAGGGCAGAGGAGCGACGCTCACAATAACGAGCAGAGCACCAGGTGGTTAAAGCAGAGCAAGTGGCACAGAAGGGGGCACAGGTGGTGCATCAGGCAGTTATCCCAGTCAGTCGACCCGTGGCACCTGCTGGGTCTGCCCCGTGAACTCGTGCCAGCGGGCGTTCGACACTTCACGTGACCTCAAGGTGCACATAGCCTGGCACAAGCGTCATGGTGAGGTCACCACCACTTCGTGGGGAATGGCGGTTGTTGTTGTGTGTAGTCACGTGTGTGTGTCTCGTCACGTGTGTTTGGTCACACGTGTGTGTGTGTGGTCACACGTGTGTGTGGGGAGCGGTAGTGTAGCAGTTAGCGCGCTGCGCTATAAACCCGGCGACCCGAGTTCTATTCCCGCTCACAACCAACACCAGTGACGATTATTTGAACCGTCCCGGGCCTCCCCTAGGTCGACTCAGCATCAAACTACGAAGTGTTGCAGTGTGTAAACATCGCCACTGGGGAGACAAAGGCGATCGGGCATGGTGCTGGCCACCCATCCCCTCGTGTGCCGTTCCGGCCTTCATAGGTGTTCGCTAACAGCACTTGCCCCTACAGTCTGTTAAGGCTATACGGGGTTCTTTGTCTTTATATTTGTGTGTGTGCGTGTGGTCACGCCGCCCGGCGTCACGGGAACACTGGTGGGGTGTTTCAGTTCGCAGCTCAACACACGTGATATATATTCTTGGGTCTTTCGGTAAAGTCACGTAGATAGGTAAAAAAAAACCCAAGAATATGAATTCCTGCAGTTACGAAAGATTTAAGTCAAGATTTTACACGTGATACATATATACTTTGTATTGCAGACATGCACCATGCATATTACATGCACGTACGATATATGACATACGTGTACCATGCATAACATATAGTTATCGTACATCTGACATACTTTGTAGCATATATGACAAAGGTGTCCCATGCATGTGACATCATGTACCATGCATAACATAGATTGGATCGTGCATATGACATACGTGTGACACACCTGCACCACACACGAGAAACCCGCGTTTGCTGACGTTCCACCCCCCCCCCCCCCCTGCGGAAATAGCGCGGCGCGTGTAGCGTTGGGTCGCGCACCGACCCATTTCCCAGCAGGTGCACACATGTGCCTTACGGCCACCATCCATTAGGCTCAACATAATGAGAATAATCGTCTTGTGTGTACCGCAGCAGTCTGACCCCTCCCGTCGTCAAGGTCAAGGAGCATAAACCATCGTTTGTCGTCCTCGTTGTAGAGACGGCGGCGGCAGCGGCTTTTGGCTCGGCCACCGAACAAAGGCGGTGGTCACCGCATCGCGCGCTTCTGTGGCCGTCTGGAACGCTCTTCCTTCCGATATTAGGAAGCCACTGGGAGATATGCACTTTTAAATCATCATCTAGATTGCAAACTCATTTCTTTAGAACTGTTTTTTTGCGTTCAGTTTGTTGTCCTTAGCCCGTACCTTCAATTAGCGCGTTTGGCTACATACCATGCGATAGGTGTTCAACGTAAATCCATACATCAGCGCTAACATGCCAGTCTGGCCACTTCCCTGTCTCATCACAGGTCGCATCCTTTCGGGGATCATCAGCACATCGTATCCCATCTTTCTTGCCGCTGTGGTCACCCACGCATGTAAACCCCTTGCAAGACACCGAGACCTCTGTAACGACGAGGACTGGCCTTACACCCATGTGACACAGCTGCTCAGCATTCCCTTTAGAATTGACGCTATCGTGGAGATTCCTTGTCAATAAGTGTTCAAAGCAGGTATTTGCCCCAGCTGGCAAAATCCATTATTCCAGGCACAGTTATGGAAGTATTTAGAGGGCAGAGGATCAGTTTCTAATTTTTCCAGCAAACGTTACGATAATAATATAACATTGTTTATAACATGGGTACCCTCTTTGGCACTGCTCTCATGCGATGTAATATTCTGCATAATTCTCATTGCTTCATCTTCTCTACGATATCGTACAAGGTAAATTATACGTTGCATATCAGGAACTCCTCGCAGTTCCTGAGCCTGCCAGTAAGTGATTGTAGTTCCTAAACTTCAACGTCAATTTTCATTTTCCCCACCTTAGGTTTACAAATGTGACCCGTCCAAGCCAAGCAGAGGCTGGCGCAGTGGGCCTTTCTCGTGTGTGCGCGCGTTTGTGAAATCTGGTCAGCGGCGGCTTTATGGCGGTCGCCGCTCGTTGCAGGGGTTCACAGTTAAAATCCGACAGGCTGCCCTGGTTATTGTCGCGGTGTGGTGTATTGATAAAAATAAGCGCGCACCATTTGCTTCGCAGTAGTCGCTTAGGATTCCGTGATGTCATTCGAAATGAGTAGGCCGTTGTGTGCGCGCCGGCGTCATGCTCCAAATCTGTCGAATCGGAAACACTGCCCACAAAGTGCTCGGTTGGAGCTACACACGGCAGCAGTCACCACCCCTGCCGGCAAACCGATGCCGAGTCGCCCCGTGCCACAAAGGGATGTTTGAGATGAGATGCGATGATGCAAGGCACTGGGGAGATGCTGAGGCATTTAAGCAATGGCATCTAAATGCAGAGATTATCACGGTTGTCTGCCCCTCTTCAGTGATACAGCGTACAGTGTGTCAGACACTCGTGCTGGTGAAGGCGACATAGCATGCCCATGTACTGTGCACGCAACACGTATAACACGCGGGCCGAACGTGATGTGCGCCATACCATCATTGAAACATTTATGGAGAATTTAAATAACAGAATAGACTCGAGATGCGCACATTTTTGTCGCGAGCACTATTCCCCCAGCCAGCGGACTGGTATTTGTTGTATGTATGTATTTTGAACTTTTTTCGCGCCATACAGAGCCAACCGTGCTAATCAGCAGTGAGGGCAAACGTTCTTCCTCCTCCTCACAACTGTGTGCACTGAAGGATGCAAGTAGCACGATTTATTATTTTGATTATTTAACACAGGAAAGCTTTACCGAGTTAGACTTTTCAGGAGAGTCTTGCCATGTTACCGCAGTAGGGGTTAACGTTGCTTTCCGTAATCCCGACTGAGTACATTTTATTGAGTAATTTGTGGGTAATTTTTCAGCATTGGGATGTTTGGTCAATGGCAGTCACATTGCGTGTTTGCTTTTAGCTGTGGGAGGAACCCGGAGAACCTGGAGGAAACCCGCGCAGAACATGGGGAGAGAAAAACTAAAACTCAACACAGGAAAGACGCCCGAGTCGAGAATCAAACCCAGACCCTTCCCGCTGTGAAGCGGCAAGCGTTGCGCCACCTCACCTTGCCGCCAAATAGAGCGATGCGGGTTGTGACTGCACTACTCTGGAGTGCCTTCATTTACAACAAAAATAATACTGAGCCACTTTATGTGACACTCTTGGTGTTTTAAAAAATGTGAGCTTTTGTATTGTCCGTTGGCTTTGTGTCCGAACTGGGGAAAATCCGAATTGCATTTTGAGGATTGGTTTCACACGGACGTCTCCGCACCTGCCCCTTGCCTCTTTCATTTTGCCCGGGACGGGGATGCGCGTGCGCGCTGGCGCGTCCCCGTTTTGGCCACAGAGGAATTCGCCGCGCGCATATTAAATGAAGTGATAAATTATGCATCTTTCACGGAATATGAAAACATCTTCGGAGGGTTTAATGTCATCAGATGTGATTACGGTCACGTTGACAAATTACGCGCACCGGGGCCGCTCGCTCTGGGCGGGTGCTCGTGGCGGGTCGCTTCCTCTGTCCGCACCTCCTGAATGTCTAAAAATGACGGAGCCCGAACGAGTCGACGACTGTGAGACCCAGGGCAGTTTGGTATTTGTATTTGTTTATTCCTGTTTCTTACGCGACCCGTGGGGTGCGCGCTGCGTTGCACCGCGGCGCCGCACTCCTCGGTCCGAAGGCCGTCGTCACGATGACCGCATCGCGACGACGGCGCGGTGACGGATTTCCCGTCACCACTGAGGCAATATTGAACGGTGCAGAGTGGCTCGTGTTAGGCTTTTAATTCGTTTCGTGAAAACCTCGATGCTAAATCGTTTATGGCAGGCAGAGGCGAGACACGCTTCGCAAAATGGCAGCGCAGCCGCACGATTTGGTGTCTTAACTGCACGGGGGATATGCAACTCTCACATTTGGCAAGTTTATTTTTAACTGGATGCTGTTGCGCACAGTGGAGCGCAGTCCACCGATCCTCGCGTCCCTCACACAACCCCCAACACCTTTCTGCACGCCCCTCACCGCATCCTGGTTTCTATTTTACTCTTTTAATTTGAAAACAGGCAAGGCCCATTGAGCTGCACAGCTCTTTCTCGGAAGCGACCTGGATGTGTGTATGTTGAACTTCCTTCGCGCCGTACGTAGCCAAACGTGCTAATCGGCCTGGCCGCTAAAATGATATCCCAACTAAGTGGCTTATCACGTGGAAATGTATAGCAGCCAAATATTATAAATGTGTGTGATGTTAATTCACGCGACCACTTGGGGAGAGAGACACGCAAACTCCAAACATACAGCGGGCGTCAGGGTCGGGATCGAACCCACAACCTTCTGTATACCAGGCGAGGTGGTTGACATCTCACCACAACGGCGCCTATCACTCAGCTCATTACCCCCCCCCCCCCACGATCTCACTCTCCCGTGTCACTCCGTCTCCCCGCAGTTTGCACTCCACACCTTCTCTCGTGTACACGCCTTTGCTCCTCCGGAGTGAATCGGCGCATTTGTGCTCTCGTATTAACAGTGCTCGATCAAACGCGTAAACCCGTCTCTTATTTATGCCTTGGTGTTCCCCGGGGGGTTGGAGGGGGAGGTAAATTGCGCGGGAGATGAAAAGTTCGCTTCCTGTTTTATTCACGGAATTTTTTTTTTTTATCAAGAAAGCAGTTGTAGGCGTGTAAACACAGGCGTGTAATTTGCACGCTCGTTGAACAAAGCGGGCACAGGGTTTAAAACGACGAGGAGGAGGACGATGTTCAACGTTCACGCGACCCCAATGAAATGAATGGTCCATCTCTACACCTCGCGAAAGAAGTGTCATTTAGCTCATCCAACAAGAGGATGTCACCCAACATCCCGGGATTAATGTTTAATTAGTAAATAGGGGTATATATGACAGCGTAATACCTCTGCAGCCAGCACAGCCTCGGCTAGTGGCCTCGGCGGTGTCCATTCCTCACGCACGGATAGGCGGCCCTACTTTGGTACACGCTTGCAGCTTCAACGTCATCGCAAATTATTACGATTATCTGGGAATGGTTGGAAGCATTACGGACCAGGTGGTCACCCTTCCTTGGATGGCCCGCTAATGCGGCATCCGCAGAGGCGCCAGCCTGCCCTCAAATGTCGAGAAGCCCTCGAGCAGACGAGCGAGCAGAATTCATCCCCGCCGTCTCGACGACGACGACGCGAGCATGCCGATGGCGACCCGCGGGGCATGGGGCCATCCATTTAGAACGTACGCAAGCGTACGCTTGTGTATGGGGTGTCTACTGACAATGTACGTACGAATAGGAAATGGGGGGGGGGGGGTGAAGCCTCGATAATAATTAATTTGTCTACATTGGCCTTCAAATGAGCTACAGTTCAGTTTCTTCAGCTGTCAGACAACAAGTACTACCGGGAGCAGTGGGACTGTGGGAGAGGTGTCACTCGTGGGCCACCGTGCCCTGACTGCAGCTATCACGCAGCTCGGCAGTGAGTCTGACATCGTCTGGCGGCCTACCCCATGGATGATTACCACACATCCTCCAATCTGGCCTCACTGCAGACTGCCGCTGGCTCAAGGTTTTAGCTGCCGCGGTGCTCTCTGTTCGTGCTGCTGCCGCCCCCGGACTTCAGCACTAACACTCGTCTGTACGTTGGGCTACTGCTACAGCAGATGTTCAGTCGACGCACTTTATAGCGAGACTAGTTCACCGAGTTGTAATTGTGTTTTAAGATCATAATAGACGTGTTTTTGAATAACCAGCCAGGATGGATAACACAGTCAAGTATAACTGTTTGTACAAAGTGTGTAAAGATAGGCCGATATTTAATCTGCGTGGATTAAATATCGGCCGTTCTATAGGTTTCGGGGGCCGGGGGTGCGTCAAGCTGGCCGTACGCAGGTGGGGGGTGTGTAAAAAGTCCGCGTGCGGACAGGGAAGGGGGGAGGGGTCACGTTTTGACAGAATTTTGCGTACCGACTAAATGGATGGCCCTTATTGCGTCGGCGACGCCTCGGCCTGGCTCCGCGGTCGTCGGTGCGTGCTCACCAAGCCCGCGGTGTCAAGGTTAACCTTGGGCCTCGTTTGCCACGGCTGCTGCACTCGGCAGAGCGTGGTGGGGTCCCGGCTGTCCACGCAGCGGCCGGTGGTTCTCGGCCTCTTCAACGCGGGACGGGGAGTCTGCGGCGTGCCTGAGAGGGACACGAAGGCTGCCATGAATCCTTCGTTCCTTCAAAAGCGGAAAGTCACCAAACGAACCGTGCAAGGTCCACTAAATGTCGCTAAGTGGACAGACCTTTACAAGGCGTTGAAAAAAATGTCATTAGGTAATTTGTGAACACGATTCGTTTTGGTAGAGCTTCATTGTGTGGCGTGTCGGAGTCGCCTCGCACGCGATAACCGCCTTACGTCACATCTCGTGTTCAATGTCAGAAGGAACCCCCCCCCCCGTGGCAGCTGTCTCTGTGTGGCACAAGGTGACGCAGCAGCTGGCCTGCGAGTGGGCATTAGTTTGCCAGTAGGGGGTGATGATTTCTGCCGCGTGTAATTTACAAAATCTAAAAACACAAATCAACAATCGTTCCCCGGGAGTCTTCTCAGAAAATCTGCGCGACGTCCCACGAATGGACGTTGATTTGTGACACCGTCGCCGAGTTGGCGATGCTGCAGTTTGCACATCTTGACCCTGGGACGAGCTGTGACGCCACGAGGTCACCGTGGCACGCATCATGACGTCACCTGCCTTGCTCGTGCGCCTGGCCATGTTGGCTTCAAAATTGCGGGAAATTTAAAACAAGAGTTTGCAAGTATTGCATTGCTCTCTCTTTTTCATTGTATTGCATAACCTAAGTTAGAATTAAACTTTGTCGAATATATATAAATGTATATATTTTTTCAAACGTCACTCCCAGCAAACCCCGGTAATCAAACTATAAAGAAAATTTTATTTTTACCAGGTAAGGCACACCGAGCGATGTAGCTCTTTTCCAGAAGCGACCCGGTCACAAATGATAGCGCAACTAAGTTGCCTATGTGGATAAAATATAATTGTGAATCCTACCTCCGATTAGCGCGGTTGGCTACGTACGTGAGAAAGAAGTGCAACATACATATTTCTAGCAGCCAAATATTCTAAATGCGTGATGTTGATTCTAAATGTGAGGACCCGGGGAGAGAGAGAGAGTCGTTAACTCCAAATATACAGCACCAGGCAACAGGGTCGGGATCGAACCCACAACCTCCTGTGTACCAGGCGAGATAGTTAATATCTCACTACCGTGGTGTCCCAATCCTGCCCTGTGGCGGTTTGACCTCTTCACATGGGTCAGTCACTAGGGTACTGTGTTGGTGAGGAGGGTTGTAAGGGATGGGCGCCGTGCGGCTGTGGAGATCCCGACATGCCTCAACTCCGCGAGGATCCTTCTGCGCACGCCGGACCTGTCACTGACAAGTGCGAACGTTTTAACTCGTCAGCCTCGGGCCTTCGCGCTTGAAGCTCGAGCAACCTTCCGCCGTTTTAAGGATCGCGCATCTTCCCCGTTTGAAGTCGAGCCCACGTTTGTATCGTCGTCACATTTGTGGTGTAGTTGGTAGCGAAATGCCACTTCTGGTATTCAAAGTGAGGGCGGTGTCATTGGCAGCAGACGTCCTCGCGTTGCCACTCACACAGCAGCGGGCGGTTCCGGTGCTAATTAAAACGAATCGCGTGCTGTTGCAGAGCATTGTGGGTAATACATACACTGACCAACATAAACTGACCAATGTTTGGTCTCTCCACATAAACATAGCGGGGTTTCTGTGTGCTATGGGTTTTCCAGGTGAATATTATCAAGTACCGTTTAAAACGAGGAAACGTGGTCCTGATTTAGACTTTTTTTTTAAATCCTTTATATTAAGTTCGCTTGCTTGCTTGCTTGCGTGCTTGCTTGCGTGCTTGCTTGCTTGCTTACGACCGTGCAAATCTTTCGGTCGTTTTTTAACCCCCTTCCCGTGATCCAATCGAGCTGACATTTTCCACATAGACTCGTTGTGCGAGACAATTAATGTTCGTGAACAAAAATTCCCAAAATTTGACACTTTTTAGGCAAAATTTTTTTTTTTTACATATATTCAAATAGAACTCATTCATGGCTTTGGCTGAACGTCACAGTGTAAGAGCCCAGAGCGTAACCCCTCCACAGGCCGTGGCGGAGTAGCGCAGTTGGTAGCACCCTTGCTTCCCATGCCAAAGGTCGCGGGATCGATCCCCGCGTCCTCCACAGGCGAATATATTTTTAAATCCTTTATATTAAGTTCGCTTGCTTTCTTAGGACCGTGCAAATCTTTCGCTCGTTTTTTAACCCACTTCCCATGATCCAATCGAGCTGACATTTTCCACACAGACTCGTTGTGTGTGACAATTAAGTTCGTGAAAAAAAATCCAAAATTTTACACTGTTTAGGGAAAACAAATTAAATATTTAATTACCAATTGCTTAATGGTGGCAGACAATCATCTGACCCATAGGTGGCAGCCATCTCAAGCCAGAGGACGAGAGGACTCTAGCCACCACGCATATAAAGGATTTATAGTGAAAAACTTTGTTTCTACGGGTTTACTTGTATCTCATCGACAGTCAGGCTTGTTGAGTAAATGCTGCTCGGTTGCTGCTGCTTTGCATGCTGGGTTGAGATTTACTGCTGTCAGCACGAAGCGTAGCCAATCCGAGCCGACTCTGCGAGGGACAGCGTGGGAATTTAAATTGGAACATAACACGATCATCGTTCGAATTACTTTCAATTATCCTTAAAATGTTTGCCCTGGGCGTGAGTACATATCGGCGGCATGGGGTAGTTTTATCACACTGAGCAAAGGGTGGGTTTCTGTGAAGTGTCCAGGCACGCAGACGGACAGCGTGAATCTCCATTTCCCACGATAAGAACGATCATTGGGGATCCTGGCGCGCAGTTCCTCGTTCCAAACGGAATTCAATCATCTTCGCCCACTGGTGCCACCCTTCGTGCGGCAACACTGTTTCACAGTACAAGGCCATACGTTGAACACACTACTTCACCTAGTTTATAACTGCATGCGTGCCTAGTGCCTCTCTTGACAGAGAGACCGTGGACAATTAAAATAATAAAATGCAGATGCAAACGTAGAATATAGAACAGGGCGCACACAAAACCACGTAGAACACGGATACGGTACGGATCCCGGTGGCATCTCGATGCAAACCGAAATCTCGAGACGCCGCACGCGACTGTGGGCACATCCATCCTTTGTCCAGAGGCGGAGGTGCGGAGGACGGTCCTGAGTCTGGACTTGGGCAGAGGCGGGGGAGTCGACAGTATGGACGGCTGGGAGAAGGGGAGTCCTAGAACGCAGGGGCCACAGGGTGGGGGGGGGGAGCTGCCCATTGCAGGGTTGTTAGGGGAGCCTTAGGGTCTGCTCAATGTATCCACATGCTGCGAGGGGCTGGTGGTCGCCCTCTTCGAGAAGAGGGAGCACACCCCTTGTGACGTCC